TTGTAGAAACTTAACGATAGTTGGCTATTGCGGCGCGTATAATTTTCAAGAAAAAGCTAGTGATAACGCCTCATTTCACAAATTAGAATTTTTAGATATTTTCCTTTTTGAAACTGAGATTGATTTCTAAAAATTTAGCATGCTTATCCAGCATAATTAATATTCTAAATAATTATAAAGCTGTTGCATGCCTTCAGGTCTGGATATTTTTTAAGCTTTTTCTATGCTGTAAGGAAATTTTTATCTACTTCCTTTAAAAAAATAATATTTTAAATCTGAACTTATAGAAAAATTCAAACAAACAATTTTCATGCCTTTTATTGGTGTAAATAAGTAAAAAATACTAAAATTCAAAAAATGGATTTTTGAAAGGTTTTGTTTAAAATTCTTAATTGTACTGCTTTTTTTAAAATTATAGCGGAATATTATAGCATAATATTCTACAAAGGGGTTTTATTTCAATAATATTTCATAATACATCATAGTGATAAACACTTTTAACACTTTAATAATTTTTACGCATTTATTCTAATGTTAAAAATTGTATTTAACTGTAATAATAAATTGTTCTAGTATTTCATAGTGATTATTTTTAAAAATTTATTTCTAGTTCTGCATAAGTTTCTTATTTATTATGAATTTATTTTATTAGCCCAAAGGGATAACAGCTCAGAAAAGCTATTAGTTTCGAAACGGCATTTTCCATTGTTTCACTATAAGTGTCCGTTTCACTTTGCAAACAGTTGCCACCAAATATTATCACCCCGTATTATATTTAAAGAAATTAAATAATGAAGAATCTACATGAATGCATGTATGTTTCTCTCGCACTGTGAAAAAAACGACGGAATTCAAGCCATTATTCAGCCATCAAATTTTGAATAACGTAATTTCCATCCAACGTGGGCACCTGGCCTAATTTCGCCTAATTTCGAATTTGTTTTAATCCATTTCATATTTTGTAACTTTAACGAAGTTTTGATTAATAAACTCAACGAGTTCAAAGCAAGCAATGGCAAATCTGTACAGAAAATAACATTTTTATCTCCAGAGCGGAAATTCTAAAGATATGCCTGTAGAATTATTAGGTTAATTGGCAGCATAAAAGATGAAAAATTAGCAACCGCCTTCGCCGGGAATCAAACCACGGACCTCTGGAATACCGGCCCAGTGTGCAGAACCACTACACCACGAAGGACGCTAGGAAAGTGGGAAAAATACCTTATATACTCCTCTTTTTAAAGAGCGACTACGGTTTTAGGGGACCTAGTTTCCAAATCCTGGGTATGGAGAATCATCATCCACAACCCTTTTAGTTCAGGCGCCGCTGTAGTGTCATTAGGTTAATTGGAAGCAGAAAAAATAAAAAATTAAAAAGCAACCGCCTTTGCCGGGAATCGAACCACGGACCTCTGGAATACCGGCCCAGTGTGCAGAACCACTACACCACGCTAGGACGCTAGGAAAGTGGAAGAAATACCTTATGCACTATTTTTAAATATTTTGTGATAATGCTCTTGAATTGAATTTTATATGGTTTACTTGCGAAGAACATGATATTTTATAAATAAAGGTAACACAGAAAACGTTTCAAAAAACGCTCCTTGGGGCGTAATATAAAATCAAATCTCAGTGCTTCCAGAGTTTACCTTTTTTTTTTCTCATTACACTCTGAAAAGTTTATGCTCCAAATTTTATGAATTACTAAAATAAATTATCATATTGTAATGTTAATAATTAATGGTCATATAATCAAATAAATGATCGTCTTGTTATGTTATAATAACTTTAAAAACTGCTGCCTGAAAATGCTCATAAAATCAAAGAAAATTATCAGATCTTGTTCAATTTTACCTTATTTGTTTCAAAGCATCATGTGTTATCAATATTATTTAATTTTACTTTATTTGTACACAAAAATAAGTTCATAAGTTTTGCGTTTAGAATTTTTACCGTTTTACTAAAGTAAAGAAATTTATACAAAATTACGCTTGAAAAAAATGCGCAAAATACAGTAAAAAGTGCTTTTATGAGATATATTAAATTTTGTTTGCAAAAACTGTGACTTTCATAATATCATCACTTATACAACGTATCACATTTAATAATTAAAAACAGTTATGTGACACAAACGCCATAGGTTTCCGTGTTAAAATAAGACAGATCGTCCCTACTCTTTCTTGCGGACATGCGGGAAGACGCACCCTCCTCCTACTGGGTTAGACTATCTCTTATAAGGTCCATGGTGGAAAGGAAGCAGAAAATACATCATAGATCAGGGGTTCCCAACCCTATGCCCGCGGTCCCCATGTCGATCGTCGATCGTTTAACGCGTGCCCGCCGCTGTGCGATCATCATAAATATGTTTTAGCTTTCAATAAAATTATATGAGAAAGTTTTCTGATTTTTAATGACACAGTAATTGTGTCCGACACAGATACCAGCACAAAGCGAAATGCGACTAATCTCTTTTTTTATGTGCATGTATCCAACATTAAATTCACCTCGAAAAAGTAAATGGTGCCCGCCGTCCAATAGATATTCTAGAATGGGCTCTTAGGAACAAAAATATTGAGAACTCCTGCATTAATAAATTGCAGCTATCACTTGTTAGTTTACCAACCTGATATATACTGTACTTAAGAAGGGTTTACTTACAAGTCTTTCTCTCGTTCGCCATCCAGTAGGTAGATACTACATAAGCTGTTTTGTTGGCAGGGACAAGAACCTATTGGTCATTTAACCCTTTCACCACCCAGAACGTTGCCACCGTGAGGAGTCCTCTTACATTACATATGCGAAAATGGGATTAGACAAGTATGAAACATTCATACTTTTGGGGGATTTGAGGATTTGAACACGGGCTGAACGATATGACGGACGACAACGCTAACCAAACGGTACAGCAAAAAGAACTCATGCACGTACACTTTCATAAATGACTACCTTTCTTTCTTTTCATTCAGGGCCCACCAGCGGCCGAGCGGTAAAGTCGCTGAACACTGGTAGTTCGGTCCCAGGTTCGAATCCCGCGAACGGGCTGGCTGCATGGGCGTTTTCGTGGTTTACCCCATGTGTAACGTGTATACGAGCCAGTTTCCCTTAGAAAGTCCTCCACGAAAGGCATCCCTCCCCTTAGGCAGATAGACCTAGTGTGCTTTGCCATAATTGAATACACCACTCACCACCTTTCTTTTCATTCAATTTTCTGTGGTATTCAGTGGCACTAGAGGGCGAGCGAAGTGACTGGTTGAATGCAGGGTTTAGTGACTTTCCTCATGTGTAATGTGAATATGAACCAGTTTTTCTTAACCCTCGTAGGAGACATCGCTTCCCTTAGATAGATAGATTTCTATTTTACCTTAAACAACATTATCTAATCTGGTTTAACAATATGTTTGTAAGGCTTATCCAGTTTATAACAGTCATTTTAAAGTTTATGGACCTTTCCTATTTCTCCTAATTTCAGCTTATAATTCCTTACCAGAATGAGGTTTTAGAATCGCCTTAAATGCAAATGAGAAGGAGTGATATTTAAGTCAAAGTTCCACTGTTTCCGGCAGAAAGAATCAGAGTTTCTGAATATCGCGCGTTTGATTTTTGGCTATGTCTGTCTAAGTTGTTACTACGCTCGACCATATTACGTGCCCTTAATAGCTTCGCTAGATAATTAGATATTTAGGGGCCAACTAGTTTAGATTTGTGTTAGCTTCGACTAAATCTATTTAATTATTCCTTAGTCAGTTCTTATTTCTTACACTTTTGATTTTAAGCCCTAGTGGAAGCTTTGCTGTATGCCCTGAGAAAGGGTCCGATTGTATATCTTTATTTTAAGCAGTAAAGTAAACCCTGAGTTTACGTTTCTATTTCTGAACTTGAGCAAATATTCACTTAGCTGTTCGTTAGGTTCCTCAACACTAGTAGATAAAAAGGAGGAACACTACGTGTACTATTTTCAGGAGAGATATGCGATAAAGCAACATAAACAAGTAAATTATATTAATTTATTTATTAATATTAATTTAATGTTTATTAATACTCCCCTGCTTAAATCGCTGTTATTTAATTACATATCTTTAAAAACATTTGTTTGCTTGAAAATGCTTTAAGTTTTATCAGTCTAAATCAATCCAACTGTGCCAACTCTTTTTCTTCTACTCAGCATTTGTTTAAAAAATTCCGAGACTGGATTAATAGAAACTAGAGAAATGTTAAAATGAAGGTGCTTCATATGCTCTGCAAAGTCTCTCCTCTACATGAGTACAACACAAAAAGCACTCATACTGCCATATGAAACTTTCAGAAAGGTCCTTGTTTGGGATGGTATTCAACTTGCTTGTCATTTTGGATTGAATGTCTGTTAGGTCATGGTAGCGTTGACTCTTCATGAAGAGTCACTTGTTTCCAAATCGAATCAATATGAAAATTGGTTAAAATTGCACATGTTTCTTCACAAGCAACTGTATCACAACTCCAACTGGTTCAGCCGGCGCCTTGTTGCAGTAAGTAGAGATTCCTCTCCTTCCATCATTTCGGACGAAGGCGCTGAATCCTCTTTCACAACCGATCTGTGACATCCGTGAGTTCCTTTACCAGTTTTTACCCAGTTATAAGCCTGAAAGAAAATCTCAGAAACTTTCGGACAGATAGTGTGTCCCGAGGATTTTTAGCACATGTTGAAAATATTCTCACTTTTATGCTTTTATATGCTTGGTAATATTTGAGTATCTCGAGTACACTGAACAAAGAATTAAAGTATAATTATCTGAATATACTAATAACAATATTATGTAATTTATTTTAAAACTAATATCTCTTTTTCATTGGTTTCTCCCCGAAGGCGGGTTGAGCCAGTTGATGCGTCTACTGTAATCGGTGAATCTGTTATCTTCGATTGTAAACTGTTATTTTGACTGTTATCTTCGATTGTTATTTGTTATCTTGTACTAATCATGTCATTTCTTTTATTTATTTTAAAACTTATGTATCTTTTTCATTAGTTCCTCCGCGATGGCGGGTTGAGCCAGTTGATGTTTCTACTGTAATTGGTGAATCTGTTATCTTCGATTGCCAAGCAGAAGGTTACCCACAGCCTCTTATTCGTTGGAAGAAAGCCTCTGGTAAGAATGCAAGGATTTACTATCGTTTTTATATAAACTTCTGCACAACTGTGTACTCCGTTACTTTAGCAGTGCATATTTTAAATGCAATAAAACGTATTATAGACGGAAGTATATTTTTATAACTGAATTAGAGAAAGCAGATATTTATGAGTATTGGAATATTTTGTTTATGGCTCTTCTCCGTAGATATAACATACTAAAAGATATTTTTATTAAAACCATCAATTCATCCATTTATTTTACTATTTTTTCAGAACAAATGTGTGTTTTCAATCGTAAAATTAACAAAAGTTCACATTCGTCAGAGATGAATAATATAGATCGTAATTACTTGTATAAAAAAATTATATATTCAACTCGTGTGAAATACTTATCAATAACTTCAAATGCATAAGAAATACGGTATAACTTAAGTAATCATTAATGCATATATAAACAAATGTTAGAAATTTAATATTAAAGTTTTTGAAATTTAACTAAATAATTTACAAATACATTTGATTGTATAAGCATCTGGTTTCATTTCCACTGAACGTTCCCATAAAACTTTATTTCAACAGGCTAAAATGTCACGCGTCTTTACGTTTTTATTAATGAGTAATTTATAATCAATTCTTGTATGAAGATGTAACTCTTTGTATTCTTTAAACTTATGCTGACAATGAAGTTGCCCAAAGTTTCGTAACGTGGGCATTGCATGGAATCTCGGACACTTTGAAGTACGCCTAGCATATGTCGCACTTTCGCGGTAATCATTTCCAAACTCCCAGTACATTTCAAAACGTTCGATATTTCATTCTTTACGAAATATCAAGGTCGTTCATAATCAGGAAGGTCAGACTTATTTTTTATACACATAATATTCATCAGGATTTATTTTTATAACCAAATATAGTATATTTCAGAGCGTGCGATATTTCGTGCTTTAAGACATGTTATGAAATATCAGGGACCTTCATCATTAGGGAAGTCCGGTATTTATATTGTCTTTGTCGATTTGTGATCGCGATGTCTTCATAATTTCCATCCCAATGCCTCTGTTTGTGGCTGTCGACGGTTTTCCTGCAACAACTCTAATGTTCCTCCTATCTCGTTAGTGTCGCATTTCCGACTCTGCATTGCTAGGCTACTCCGTGTATTCTAAATATAACCTATCTCTCCTAGACGTTTGTTCCTCTAGTTTTGAATCACCCTGTATTAGAATTATATGTAGAATTAAAAGTAAAATAATGATTTAAATCCTTAAGAAGTTACTTGATTGTTTTTATGCCAAACTGTTCCTTAAGCAATTATAAATTAATTAAAATTGAAAGTATAACTTCCAAATCTTATATTTTACTGAATGACAACACTCTGAAAGTTTGCTATGCGTAAAGTATCAATGAAAGATTACTTAAAGGTGTTATTATTTTGTGAAATACATTTTGTGAAGGCGAATAGGAATAGCATACGATTCAGGCAACTTGGTGAAATAATCAATGACAACGAAGGTATATTTGTTGTCGTCAGAAGTTCTAGGATGTCAAAGGCGATACGTTCAAAAGGCGCTCCTACATTCTAACTTTGTAGCTTTCCTCGGCTTGTTTTCTTCCGTCCTTTCGGATCCGCATAAGCATCGCATGATTGCCACCACTTTTGCACGCCCGGCCTTGCATTACTCCAGCAGAAGCGCTCTCAAAATCTAAGCAAAGTCTCCATTATTCCGAAGTGTCCTCCTGTAGAGCTGATATGTAGTACCTTAAGAACGTCTTGAATCCCTGATCTTGGAAGTATCAGCTGTTATCGGAACGCTTGTTCATCATCCGATTCGAACTTCCGGTACAAGATGCAGTTTCGAATATGAAGTGAGTCCCAGAGAGCCCAATTTTGATTTGTCGTAGGACTATAGATTGAAATGTTCTGCCAGGTTCGTTTCCTGTTTGAAGGTTCCATTAAATCAGTTATGAGTTTAATGTCGCTCCTGACTTCTTCGTCACTCGATGAGTCTCGATCAGCCTATGTAAATGTTGTACATTGACGTACGACCGAACTAAGCAGCTCTTGTTTCTCCTTGACCATGGAACAATATCGGCAACTTTCTAAGCAGGGTCTTCCAGCTAGATCATCGTTATTTTCATGTGGTGATCCCTTCCGATGACGGACAGTTATGTCTTCAGAGACTGAATTCAATTCGTTATTTTTAAAGTCGAAGGAAAAATTTTATTTTCTTATAAAGTCCAATCTGAGTGTGCAAGGATCTGTCAAATCTGCTGCATATGCCGCGTGTGGTGGTAGACGGCACTTCCAAACGTGATGTTTACGTTGAATTTTCTATCACTTTCGATTTATCACCAGATGCAGTCTGAAGGAGAAAGCAGTATGACGTCCAAATAAGTTTATCTTTGACTGTTAAGCTAAATATATTCCTAATGATGGTAACATTGGCTACTGTGTCGAGGGTCATACTGCATAGAACTCCACTAATATGCCTCATGATGAAGGGCCTATTACTCCCGCACTCACTGCAAAAATTTGTGAATATGTAGATTTTCATTATCTTCAAGCTCCTTCTTGTGGCGTAACTGGGGAGTGGTCTTATTTTCTGTGTCCTGGGGCATTCTGCAGTTCCTCCTTACGTGGCCTTCAACACCGCTGTTCCTGCAATTTAAGGTTGGTTTCTTGTCACTTCTGGTCCATCTCAAGGCCTTGTCTTGTCTGGTTAAATCATCCACATTATTTTGCGTGCAATGTGGTGTTCTGCAGTTCCTTCGTAGGTGGCTTGCAGCACCACAGTTCAAACACTTTAGAATATGTTTTTGGTCTTGTTAAATCATCTAAACGTTGATCCACTGGCTGGCGAACTTGAGCACCTGTAATTGGGTGGCTGTCGCTACGAGTTGATTGACTGGCTGCCTCAAATATCATAAAGGTACACTTTCTGTATTTCAGGATTCCCGAATGCTATTGATGACGTACTGCAGGGACAGGATTAGGTTTCTGTTGACGGGATTTTAACTGAAGCTTGCTATCATTTTTTATACACTTCTCCCCGAAGCTTAGCTCCAATGCGCCTAATAGAGCTTCGTAGTTTAGCCTCTGGTTTTCGGGAATATTTTGAAGGACGTCCTCTTCGCTGCTCTAAGATGAGCAGTCTTAGCATGGGATTCCCATCCATTTTCATGCGCCACTATAGCAAATTGTATTCATATATTTGCCAGGAGGTTTCCCATCATATGCGGATAGCTTCAGAGAGGGACAAGAAATTTTAAATTCATCAGAATTGGTTCCTGGTGTCGCTATGCATTTCTTTAAGGTGTCAACTCCTTTGGCGAGAGCAGCAGAAAACGTATTCTCAAATTTTTGTAAGATTTATTCGTGGACGGCGGAAACTCTTTCTTCCGTTTCTCCGATTCCATTTTCAACAATGCCTGTTATGTTTTCTATGGCTTCAGATTTTCTTTGTATTATGGTAGTAATTTCTCTTTTCATTTCCTCTTGAACTTATTTGACGGTGTCTTCGATCTTTTCTTAATCCTCCTTCATCTCCTTTTCGCTATTCTTTAACAGCTGTCATCTTTACTTTAATGGATTGTTGACCAGCTTCTATCTTTTGAAGGACTGCAGCAAAGCCATTCATGACCTGTCTTAATTTTTTTCCATCTCTCTTGTCACCGGCATTCAGACTCATTTCTGACACCAAACTTTGTTGCGTAGGTACGGGTTCGTAATATACTCTTGAAAAAAATCCAAGCAACAAGGACGACTTTTGCGATCGTGACGAAATTTGATATGCAAAAACATCCTAATCGAACATGCAAATGATCAAAGTTTCAAAGCAAATGAACAGGAATTGCGATCATAGCGCACAATTTGCAAAGTATAAAACCAGTAAGAAGAATCGGAAAATTTATCTTTTTTTGTTTCTGGCATTGTAATTCCGTAAAGAAGTTAGATACTAAAAATGCCATCTTTTTCCTTTGGTTAAATGGGCGTGGCCTGTCATGACCATGAGATCAACTTCTTTGGTTAGGCGGTTCGGGCCGTGCCCACTACTGATACTAAAGATGCCATTGCGACGATATCGAAGACCTTACAAACAACTAAACGACTTCGAACGTGGTCGCACTGTAGGGTTGCGCGAAGCTAGGTGGTCATACCGAGCAAGATGCCGCCACCTGCAGCGTACAGCCCCTGCTGTGCGAAGATGTTGACAGCAATGGTTGCTACAAAGGAAATTGCTGATGGCTCTGGTAGGCCACAAATGCGAGGCAAGGTAGGATGATTAATCGTCAGGCCCGAACCGCTCCAAAGATATCATAGTCGACTATTTAGCGCACTACAGCCACGGCTATACCTCGCGTGCTACAGTCTACCATCTCACGGCGTTTGTCTGAGGTGGGGTTACGCTCACAGAGGCCTTTAAGACGTTTGTCTTTGACCCCACAACATCGGCGGAATCGTCTGGAGTGGGATCGCAGCCAATCATCATGGCTGCCATCAGACTGGTATTGTATAGTGTTCAGAGATAAATCCCACTTCACTCTTGAAGTAGAACACCACAGTGTTCGTGTCTGGAGAAGACAGAGCCAGCGGTCCCAGTCAGCCTTTGTTTTACAAAGGCATACAGCCGTAACCCCTGGTGTGATGTTGAAGGGCGCTATTTCTTATGACAGCAGGACATATTTAGTCATCCTCCGTACATCTTTAGCAGCTTAACGATACGTTGATAACATCCTGCGGCCGGTTGCATAACCCTTCATGGCACTTCATTCTGAGGCCATTTTCCAGCAAGATAATACCAGGCCACATACCGCTCCTATATCTCTGGACTGTCTCCGTGCGGTTGATACTCTTTCTTGGCCAGTAAGGTCACCAAGCCTTTCATCAATCGAGCATGTCTGGGATATATATGGTAGGCCGCCAGATTCGGGCACTACAAAAATATCGCAGATCTGGAGCGACAACTGATAAATGCCTGGCAGAATGTGACGCAGGTTGACATTACGAACCTCTACCAC